TTGAGACACAGATGAATCCACGAACAATAGTTTTTCGATAGACATGCATCCAAATGAACCCTTGTGCTCCTTGTCGTGTTCGGGAAATAAGTGGAACATTCGTCGTCAAATCAGTGTATAAATAATGGCCTAACAATTATCATGAAAAACGTCAGTCAGCATTTTACTCAATGATAAATAGTATTTGCTGATAAGGTCATTGTATCAACCATAGAACTAATGATGACTTTAAACGAGACTGCTATATTCTTGTTTCATCAACTTGCTTGTCAATAATTTAACTCGTTTTAGAAATTGTTCATACGTAGAGCTTGCTCTTGCGTATCGAATCAACTAAGAAAATATACTCCGTATGCAGGTGATGAAGGTATATTGCTGCATAAGTAAGTAAAGTTGACGATAGAAAAGTTTAAGTCATCACGTTTATCATAAAGCTTGGTTGTTAGATTACCATTAATGTCTTTTTCAAGTTCACCAGTATATATCGTATCGACGTAGGAATGGAAATGACCATTGTTAATTTAGAATATGTCGTCGATATATCCAAATGTCGAGTTGAAGGCCACAACAAGTGTTTTCTTCTTTTCACGCATAAGATTTTGCACAAATTCTGCTTCATATGAATATAAATATAGGTCTACTAATAACGGAACGCAATTGGTACCCGTGGGAATTTCAATAGATTTTTGGAATGCTTGGTCTCCAAAAAAACACATCAGAAACTCAAGCATCTTTTTGATGTCAACGTCAGAGTACTTGTGTGTGTTTTAACAAAATAATTTTGCAAATGACCAATGACCAGGTAAGTTAATTTACGAGTTCCATTTTTATTGAAAAAGCAGCTGTCAATGATATCAAAAAGCCTGGACTTTAATTTATCGTGGGGAATGGTTGTGTATAAAGTTGAAACGTCAGAAGTTTAAGCTGTTGATTTTGGTAAAATCTTGTGCTTTCAAATTGTCCAAAAGTTCTTTGGAATTTTTGAGCATCCACATCTGATTCACACCACTTCTTGAATATATTGTTGCACAGAACTCTTGAAGTTTTACATTTACTTCTGTCAATATCTTCGTGAGGAGTAACGAAAGAAGTTTGGTATAACATTTACTGGAACCCGCAATGTATCTTTGTTTGTAAGGATTTTTATTAAGTTTCAGAATCCGATGCAGTGTATATATAGGGTAGTTTAAATTCATTTTGCTTCCATTACATTTCTCTTTATGTACTCTGACTTTATTATTAATACACTAAAGCATGTTCAAAGTACAATCAATTCTTAAGACAGGCTACTAACAGACTGTGTTGATGTTACGAAGATTTCAACAGCCTCAATTAAAAATAAGTATTTTGAAAATTCTAAGGTCATTATCATTGGGGTGTTATTTAACTGACCTATTCATTGAAATATGAATTAGATACTGGACTTTTACAGGAACCCTGACTTTTACATTTGACGAATTACTCTCACACTAGGACAGTGTACGGAAGCTCTTTTACCATATAAATATTTAGCGCAACATTTAATTCAACGAAAATAACGGGCTATTTCAAAGCACAGATAAGTTGTCCTTGAAGGAAACGACAACCATCCTACCCTCAAATCCAGGCCTTCACATATGTGTCCCTATGACAACTAGAACGGTTTTCTTATTCATTATCAATTCTGTACCTCCGTAGATGATACAGGTTTAAATGTCCAAGTAAACAGTCAACTGTAAAAGTCAGTGCTTCTCGTAAAAGTCCTTTAGTAACGTTGAGTACTAGTACCAAAGCTCAAAAGTTCATTTAAACAACTGGTACAATTCAGGTGCAGAGCAAACATGGACCTCTAAATTATCAGAGATAGTATCAGGTGCCTGGGAGGAGTGAGTTTTCCCTTGCCGACCGGTCACACCTCCGTGTACCCCTTGTCATGATCGGGAAATAACAGAAAAATCCTTCGTCAATTCAGTGTATAGATAATGGACTAACAATTAGTATGAAAAACGTCAGTCATCATTTGACTCAATGATAAATTGCATTTGCTGACAAGGACGTTATATCGACCACAGAACTTGCAAAATGAAGAATTTCAACTTTTTACATAGCGAAAGGAGTTAGGCAATGACAGTTCTGGATAGTAACTCTGGATAGTAAGTTGAAAGAGAAACATTCCTTTAGTTTGATCAAAACGTAGGGACAGTGACCCACCAAGAGCGGATGCGCACACCTCTAAGCCATCTAATCCAGCCCTGGTATTTCCAACGTTTATGCCCTGTGCATAAATGTATAATTTTATTAAAAAAGATTTATTTTGAGATGATTTTTTCCTGTTTAGTCATACGAGTATTTCATTTTTCTACGGATCTAGAACAGAATCATGCATTTTTTTTTGCTAGAATCTACAATAAATTTCTTTGTCTTTAACTGTATGGATGAAAGTTTGGGTTGTTGACAGACCTCCCTCTCCTTCATAACCATTTAAAAAGGTTATCGTTTTACCAGATCTGTTTCTTGCTGTGTTAATGAAGGCCGGAGTATTGTTCTCAAGCAAGTTACAAAATTAAGTTTTTTTTAATTTTTTTGAAAATAGCGTTCGATTAAAAAAAGTGAAAACATTTTTATGTCGATTTAACAAGATCTAAACCAGCTTAAAATATTTGTCATTTTTCTCATTTATATATACCGTTTAAAATACTTTTTAGCGATATGTTGATCAATATAATCAAACTGGTAGGATATTTTGCTAAAATGATCGTGCGTGCGCCCCATCTGTTGAATGCCTCAAAGATGAAATCAGATGTGATAGATTATGCCCAATCACAAAAAAGATTCACGCTAAAACTATTGACAAGACTAATATGGTGTGATGGGTCTCACCAGGTTTCAAGATCATAAAATAAAAAAGATGCAGAAATATAACAATAAATATATTCTTATAGCAATTATTATTATAAAAAATGCCCCCCCCCCTTGTATTTCAGGGTTACTAATACAACATCTGATGTACGTGATATCAAACGTGAAATGTCCTTTCTGACATATTTTATTTTATCAAAGAAAATGTGCAATAAGATTTTATTTGATAGAATAAAATATGCCAGAAAGGACAGAATCGGAAGCAACGAACCAAAATATATGAGGATTCAATGAATCTCATAAGAAGACGTCGATGTATTTTCCAAAGTATTTTAAAATAAAGTGTAGGAATGTACAAAAATGGTTATAAAAAATGAAAACCAGGTAAATTGATTGCAGAGATATGGGGTAATTTATAAGTATGCCACATCACTGGGCTTGTTAAGGGCCCCAGGAATAAAGACACAATCCTCCGGCATTTCTCCTCATGCTTCATCTTTTATTCCCGTCAATGATGTTAACATATAGTCCAGTCAGCGTAATGATGAAAGAATCGGCGGCGCAACAGCTTGTTTCGACAAACGCATGCATTCAGAAGTTTTTATATATTTTTTTTTTCATTGGAAGATTTTAATTATATCGATTATCGAGAAAAAAAACTTAAAATTTGAAAGGGAAGATGATCTATATTCAGCGTGAAGGATAAAGACGAGCAACAAGATGAAAAGGTGAGTTAGTAAACATACATATATTTATCTTTAAAATTGAACTTTCTTTTCAAGTCGTATGGTAAAAACTTTAAAAGCTATATGATTTTTTATTTCGTAACACTGTTAAAGTTAACTTCTCTGAATACCTGTTGCTGGAATGTTTCTATAATATTTGTCTTATTCAGTACATTCTGTTTAAGTGTGGACAGAGTCTCTTGTATAAAAAATCTAAATTATCAATAACAATTTCATTTTTCTAATCAAAAAAAAAAAAAAAAAAAAAAAAAAAGAAAATACAATATTCAATTTTAAAAAATGCTCGAGAGGTCTAAAAATTATTCGTTGATTGCCCAACATAGGAAAAGTTGGAATACGTAGAAGACACTAATTTTAAGACACATACAATAAAAAAAAATACAAAAGGTGTCTTTATTCAAATAAAGAAGGAGTAAAAACGATGAATGCAATGTCAGTAATGATAAACACTTTCGTCACTCATCAATCTTCCAAATTTAAAAACGAAACATCTTGCAGCCTATAGAAAAATAATATCCGAAGACATATTCGTGGAGCTTATAATTATAAAGTTTAAATTACAAAAAAAAAAAAAAAAAAAAAAAAAAAAAAAAAAAAAAAAAAAAAAAACAAAACAAACAAACAAACAAACAACAACAACAACCAAAAAAAAAAAAAAAAAAAAAAAACCGAAAAAAAGGTTTCTTCCAAATTGCTTTTAAAAAGTTCTGGCTTCGGATATTGCATGTTTCTTACTAACATCTGGATTGAAAGAATTAAAGATAAAAGACATCCAATCATGGAAACATGATTTAAAAATAAAATTTACTCCAGGATTTTAAAAAGGCATGTTGTAAATGTATAAATTTTTCTAACTGAATGGATTTAGGGAGTTGCCTCGATGGCTTTATCCAGGATCGAAACTTCCTGCAATATTCGAAACACTCGTACACAACTCCTTTTTCGAGGTAATTTTTGTTTCATCGGTCTTAAATTTGAAGGAAGTATTTTCGATATTGCCTTTTTCGATTATTAGTTTTGTTCAAAATTAAAGATCATTTTTAAATAAACCTTATAGAAATTTCATGCATAAAAAGTTATGAAAGTATGATACCGAAAAGAAGTTTATAGTTGTAACAGTTTTATTCAAATTTGCAGATTTGAAATCAAGAGGATGTTTTTGTTTTCCTGTTATATTACAATAACGACGCAAGATAATTTAGAAATGAGATTACAAGGTTTGTTTTGATATCTCTTATTTTTCTTTAGTCAAGTATAAAAAGGCAAAAACATGCCAAATTTCATATTCCATAGAAGAAAATAATTCAACATTTCTAAAAAAATGTATTACTTTCTAGAATTTTACATTGCATGTTATAAAGTGGGCAGATTTCACAGGGATTTATCCTACCTGCTTTCCATTTAATATCAATTTATATGGCTTCTTTCTGTATTGAAGGAGAATTAGACAAGGAATATAAACAACAAAAACAAAAAGGAGTGATACGTGTTGACAAATTAGTTAAACAACAAGTGCTTCACAACGTCTGGATACAAAACAAAAGAAAAACAATTCTAGAAAGACACGCCAACGTACATGAAAAGCCGAATATCAGATGGTTTGAGCAAAACATGAACTTGGATTTTCCTACCAGTAACCATCTACACCACCCTTTTCATATCCGCCGAGCCCCTATTCCTACCATAGGCATGCCTTGGCCGAGACCGCAGACTTTTGAAACATCTGATACAAAACTGTATAAAATCAGGAAACTTTCTGTGAAAGCAAATTTTTCTAACTGTCATATATTGCAAAAAGCAGTACAAAGATACATGAATATATTTTTCACCTGTAGTAATGTTCAATTTACAAACAATTTATTGCACTTGAAAAATTCCAATTTTGGTTTTTCAATGCAAAAACCAAGTTACGAATACCTAACGTCCTTAGAAGAGTTAAGAAAACTTACTTTTGATGTTGAGAGGTGTTCGAATTATCCAACCTTATCGTCCGACGAGTCCTGTAAGTATAGATGTTCTATGTATAGTAACATTCTGGATCATTCCCCTTATCTCGGCATAATTGAAGTTTAACAACATCAGACTTTTTGAATACAATTTCATTATTTAATTTATCTACTTTTCAACCTTGATCATTAAAATAACAGCTTTGGAAAGGATGTTTTCTTGTAATAAGTTCTAGCTGCAGAGCGACAGTGCTATGGTTTAATATGTTAATCTTTTACCATCTTATCTTGTTATGGTCAACGATTAACATATAAACTATAAAACCATAACGCCACAGTTCTGCAACTAATCTATGTTCAGTTTAAGTAATGTAACGTGTTGTAGACACATTAAGAACATCTAACGGTGAAATAAGGATAGAAGCAAAAGATGTCTGGGGTACACTACGAGCTCTGGAAACGTTAAGTCAGCTTATCATCTGCATCAGCAACACGGTAAACATACAGGATTGATTTGTATTTGTTCTTCATAAATTAAATAAAATATAGGCAAAAGGACTGTACAAAACAGAAACAATATCAAACAAATAATACTTATTATTAAATACAAAAATTGATATCAATATTTATTCTTCTCACTACGTACACTTAACAAATTATTATGTAAACTACATGTTCATACATATAGTTTATAAACTTAAGTTTACTTAATTAAAATTTCTAAGTGTTTCTCTCATAAGTCGAAGTTTCTCAGATTTTGCCTATGTTTAAAAAAATATCAAATTTACAAAATATTTATATACGCCTACACATTTATAATAACATAGGAGTTATTCAACTTGTATCGGCTACAGGGACTGGTAGCTGTTGCTTAAATTTACTCTTCAATAATTCTGCATCAAAAAATGGCAGATGGGTCTTATTCATAATTATTGTCTTTTCAGTTTATTATTAGGAAAACTAGGATCGTAGACTTTCCAAGGTTTCCACATAGAGGAATATTAATTGATTCAGCAAGACACTTCATGAGTAAAACAACGATATTTCAAATGCTGGTAAGGAATCCATGGCTGAATCACGTTCTTGTTGCAGCAAAATATAAGAAGAGTCAGACGGTAGGTAATATAACAAAAAATGTTTATTGTTGCCAAGTTTAAAACTATGTTTTTTTTTACCATAGAGTGCCATGGAGATGAACAAAATTAATGTTTTTCACTGGCATCTCTCTGACGACCAGTCCTTCCCTTACAGGAGCCGAACTTTTCCTGATCTTAGCGGAAAGGTAAGTGTTGACAATTGCAGGATTTATGGCATCCTGGAACGTTGTATTTCAAGATAAAATTGAAACTTAAGTTTTTCCAAACAATATTTTTAATGCTAAGAGGTGGGATAAAATAATCTTCAATTCAAAAATACCTGCTATTAACTGTGTTTGATATACGAGATAACAATGTAAGCATTACAAAGTTCAGAAGAGGGTGAACAATAGAAGTGAATACTGGTCATTTTTCTTTCCTTAGGGAGCTTATCACCCTTCCCTGACGTATACCCAGGAGGATGTGAAAGAAATAATAGAGTTCGCCAGAATCCGGGGGATCCGGGTTATTCCGGAATTTGATACACCAGGTGGGCAGGTACCTAGTCAACATATCTCGTTATAGTATACTCGTAAATGATAGCGCAATTTATGTCCACATTCTTATTATTCTCACTTTAATCATCTACTGAAGTCAGATTTTCGGCTATTATAAACTAATGGTAGACAAATAAAACTTTGAACAAAAAGACGAATTCTCACAAACACAATTGGAAAACAAATTTACTTGAGTCTATGTCTCTGTAGAATCAATGACAATAAGCGATGCCAAAAGATCAGTAAAATAATCATAATGGGAAACTCTAGCAAGAGAATCCTATCGACAGTATACATATATATTTCTCTTCATTTACAGGACATTCATTTTCCTGGGGCTTCGGACATCCCGAATTACTGACCCAGTGTTACAATGGGGAGCGTCCAATACCCGGTGACTTTGGACCAATGAACCCCGCTAGAAACTCAACCTACACTTTTCTTTCTGCATTTTTCAAAGAAGTATTAGAAGTCTTTAAAGATCAATATGTTCATCTTGGAAACGACGAGGTACCACTGGCTTGTTGGTATGATACAAAAGAAATCTGAAAAAAATATACCTTTCTTCTTTGCATTTACCGATCTATTTTACCTTTTTCTTTACATTTGACAATTCATCGATTGTTTTACTCCAACAATAAACACACCTAACAATCTTTTAACCTATCTCCTTCTTAGTTTACATATGTAGTTAATGATGCATACGTGTTTGTTTGAAAAAATTAAAGGAAGAATGATAAGTTGGAAGAAGTTAAAAAATACATTATTAGATTGCTTTGATAATAAAAGAGTCAGTCGGTCCATGAGTTGAGCTCGAGCTTAAGTGGCGAATGAAAAAATTACTAAATCCATCATTTAAAAAAAATCAAAATTTACAATCCAAGTCTCTTTACTTCAGGAACACAAATCGGGAGGTGCGGAAACTGTTCACAAGGATAAAAAATACATCAATGTTCAAAGATAAAGGAACTGCCACCTGGAGTTTCTTTACAGAAAGGTATCTTTTTTCCCCTTTTAAATATACACCATAAAATGTTGATTGAAGTAAATTTTGCGATTTTTCAAGTAGGTAAACATTTTTGATATTTTTATAGGTTAATCAAAGATGTACAGAAAATAGCAATGGAAAGGGAAAATGGTGTCAAATTTATTCTGTGGCAAGAAGCTTACCAGTCAAATTTAAATGTAAGAGTTTGTAAAATGTGAAGGTCAAAACGAAATAGGAGCACAGCAAACATGACCTCTAAAACATAAGAAGTGGGATCAGGTGCCATGGAGGAGTGAGCATCTCCTGCTTACCGGTCACACCCGCCGTGTGCTCCTTGTCATAATCGGAAAATAACGGAAAAATCCGTCGTCAATTCAGTGTACATGTATAAATAATGGACTAACAATTAGAATGAAAAACGTCAGCATTTGACTCAATGATAAATTGTATTTGCTGACAAGGTCATTGTATCGACCAAAGAACTTACGAAATGATGACTTTAAACGAGACTGCTGATATTCTTGTTTCATCAACTTGTTTGTCAATAATTTACCTCGTATTAGAAATTGTTCAAACGTAGAGCATGCTCTTGCGTATCGAATCAACTGAGATATAATACCTCGTATGCAGGTGATGAAGGTATATTGTTGCAAGAAGTATCAGACACCTTATCCAGCGATGCGGTATATGATGAGAAACCGATGCATTTTTTTGATAAAAAAAAAGGCGCGGTAGCCGGCCGGACACCTATAGTAATCACACGGTGACTGAGACCATTTGGCGAATCGATGGAGTCATCGGTAAAAAATAAGTTGTAGGTAAAAATCAGTGATGTCGCTACCGATACCCCACATCGCTCCTCATCGGCAACCCATCATTAACACATCTTTCAAGGATTGGCCGATGTACTTGTATGGCCGAGCATCGACAAGTGTCCGTTGAATCTGAGGTCATCGAGGGGTTGAGTGGTGGGCAACAGGCATCGGCCGATCATCGGTCGATGTTCGACCAAACGTTGGCCCATAGTCGACCGACGTACGAACGGTGTTCACCAATGTATGAGTGATGTATTATGCATCGGCTGATTATCCTGGAACATCGTTTTATGATTAGCAATGCATCACTGGGCCTTTGAAAGTCCGGCCGGCAACCATGCCATTTTTATCAAAAAACGCTTTGGTTGCCCATCGTTTACTCCATCGCTGATGTCTTAGTCACATTTCCCGGCCGGTGGCCGTAGACCGGTGGTAATCGGTGGTAATCCATGGTGTGATCGATGCCCCAACATCGGTCCTTATCGGCATAGTAGTCCTTAAAGTATCAGTCACATTATCAAATGATGGGGTATACAGTGATCAACCAATACATTTTTTGATAAAAACGGCGTGGTTATTCCAGGGTAATCGACCGATGTATATTACATCGCTCATACATTGGTGAACATGGTAATGTTTGGTCGAACATCGATCGATATTCGGCCGATGTCTGTTGCCCACCGATCAACCCCTCGATGACCCCAGATTCAACGGACACTTGACGATGCTCGTCCAAACATCGGCCAATCCTTGAAAGATGAGTTAATGATGGGTTGCCGATGACGAGCGATGTGATTTTTAACTTCAACTTATTTTCTACCGATGTCCCCTCACCGATTCGCCAAATGGCCTCAGTCACCGTCCGATTACTACAGGTGTCCGGACGACAACCACGCCATTTTTATCAAAAAACACATCGGTTTCTCATCGTATACAGCATCGCTGGATAAGGTGACTGATACTTGAATAATGTGACTGATACTTTAAGGACTACTAGGCCGATGTAGACCGATATTGGGACATCGCTCACACCACGGATTACCACCGATTACCACTGGTTTACGGCCACCGGCCGGAAAATAGAACTAAGGCATAAGTAAGGAAGTTGACGAAAGAAAAATTAGTCATCATGTTTATCATAGAGCTTGGTTGCGTAAAAAATATAATGAATCAATACATATTGTGAGCGAAGGAAACTCAAACCTCTGAAAACATACTAATGTGAAATTGAAGTTCTGAATTTTTAAATTTAAATTTTTTTTTATCAGAACCAAAGATTGTTTCTAAACTAAAATTTAACCACATAATATCATATTATTAATATACAAGAGGAGATAATCTTTTTCACAATAACAAGTGCCAATGTTTGAAAAAGTCCGAAGTCTATACTATTGTGGCTTACTCCTTCAATGTTTTACGTTAGATTCCTAGGGACACAATTGTTCAGGTTTGGCTCGGTGATCAGAGACTTGTAGAAGAGGTGGCAAGACAGGGATATCATGTTTTATATTCATCGTGCTGGTACATCAACATGATACAATATGGCGTCGTCTGGCCAAAATATTATCTCTGTGATCCCATTGGCGAAGGTTAGTGAATCGTCTTTTTTTTTATTTAAAAAAAAGGGTGAAGACTGTCCACTGCAAACGAGGTAGATGTTTAAAATCTATATATAACACCACATGCTCTACTTCGAAAATTCATATTCAATTGCATAACGCTGTAGATCCCAAGATTCTGTCAGATGTAGTGGAACCTTTAAAAGTGGACACCCATAAAAGACTTAACTACTAGTATTCCATTTTCTTGCTAGATTTTTAGATTATGCTGTCAATAGGATGCGCATCTTTATTTCTGAATAAATGGACAAAAATACGATAAACACAGACACTGCTATTTCTTCTATTCAAAATAATATACTCAATGCTTTTCCATATTTCTATGCTTGTTTTATGATGTTAAATTATTTCCTCAGGCTTTCGGGGTAAAGAGGATCTTGTGTTAGGAGGGGAAGCCTGTCTATGGAGTGAATACGTCACCAGTGAGACTGCGATTGGTTTGTTATGGTGAGTACTATTTATATGTAAATCTTTTAATAAGCAGATTTCCTCAACTTGGGATTCTGAAAACAACCCCGTTTTACTATTGAAATGGTCTGTTTGTCCTGTTTCTATCCTTACTGGAATTCTGTCAACAAAGTTGACATAAAGGCCATAATCATATTATCATACATCATGACTAATATGATAAATGTTTTATTTATTAAATATGTAATATGTATATAGAAATCAAAACTTTAATTGAAAATTTGAATGGACTGCTTTTTGAGTGGTGGATCATTTCTTTCATGAAATGAGAAGATAACTAACAGTATTCAAGCTCAAAAATCCATTTAAACAATATAGATTTGGAGCAGAACAAACATTATCCTTAGTAGCATCAAAGGTTGGATCAGATGAATTTGCAAAATGTATGTTGATTTTAAATAGGACTGTTGATTTCCTTATTTCATTAAATGACTGTAAAAGCATGCCTTTATTCAGAAGTTAACTAATGAAAATGTCCATCTGGGAAATACTTATGCTAGTGATAATGGTACGTGATTCTAATTTTTTTGGTACAGGCCTAAAGCATCGGCTGTTGCAGAAAGATTGTGGAGTGATAAATCATTAAGGGACATTGATGAGGCTGCTAGAAGATTGGAGGAGCATCGATGTAGAATGTTAAGGTACTTACTCGACGGACTTCATATACAAAAATAGTATCTTATTACAAGTAGCATTAGTATTTAAGCTCCAAAAACCATCAATACTGAGTTTGCAACATGTTGATTTTAAACGAGATTTATATTTATGTTGATTTATATATACTTTGATGCAACTAACTGCAAAGATTAAAGTCCCTTGGAAAATTATTTTTCTTATATGATACGTCTTCGGATGCCAACGAAAAGCCAACAAATTAGACCTTTACTTGGCTCCATGAGAGTTCTATATAGCCTCATGATTGAATAATGTCAAACAATTAAAGTGCATAAAATTTCAAAACGTAATTAGTTTAAATATGCCTAGATTATATCTACTTTAATGCATTTTTTTGAAGGAAATTATTTTCTCCCCCCCCCCCCAAAAAAAATGTAAATAAAGAATAAAATAATAAAGTAAAATGTGTTATTTTCTTTTTATTTCGGCTCCACGATGCGAAACTTATTATTTTTTTAAAAAAAATATTCCATTGCTTTATATTCTTTTTATTCTTATTTAAGTAATCTTCGAATTCAAGTAAATCATTGGATAAAGCATACAATAGATACAACAAAAATCATACATTGGTGAACATTAGATTATTAAATAGCACAAATAACTTATGTGACATCATGTCAAGTTTCTTTTTGAAAAAAAATAGATTGTATGAAATATTGATTACCCGGACTAGTCCTTGCTAAAACACTGGACTGATTTATTGGTAATGAAGTTTGAATGTATCTATGTTTTTTAGAAGAGGTTTAACTGTCGGGGATATTAGTGGGCCAGGTTTCTGTGCATTTGAAAGCGAGAAACCGTCTAATCTATCAGAACACATCTTTCAAAGCCAGGTTGTTTATTCAGCTAAAAACCAGGTAAGATGATATCAAAGATTTTATTCCTTAATGAGAACATTAATTTAGATTAGTTACAATTCCTTCTTTTTATGTATAACCTGATTTTTTTTTTCAAATTTAGAAGTATTTCTTAAGGCAACTCTTTTCAAAATATGTCCGTTTTCTTCAGGTTTTAGTAATAGTCAATAATTTGTGCTGCTTATGCTGTAAACAAATATTTACCTTCGAACTCTTGGTATTGGTTTAAAGGTGAAACAAAAAAAAAATAATAATAAATCTTAATTTTATGTCTTATTTCAAGAATTTTGTACTGGTTTTCTGGTTAGTTTGTGGAGAATTAGATATCTTGAGTAGATAAAGAAGAATTATTCAAAGTAACGATAAAATTCTGAAGGACTAAATGTGTTTCCCTTGAAATATACTTTTATTTGATATCTATAAAAAATATGCAGAGGAGCAAGAAAACAATACTTCATGATACCGCACGTGCATGGGTTTCTTGAACCAAAATTTATTGTATGGGGTAAATTTGCGAGTATTTAAATTCTCTTTTTTTGGGGGGGGGGGTTATCGCATTGCGGGTATCTGATATCAAGAAATGATTACCTAGTGAAAATTATAATATCCATGTCAAGGGTTGAAAAAATTACAATCAGTCATGCATCATTCGAGTAAACATAATATCCTTGAGATTTACTTCATCTCTTTGTGTTTTATTCAATCAGACAAAATAAATGTTTTACTAGGGATTCCTTGCATTGGTGTTATGCACAAAATACAAATTCAAGTAAGGAAGAGTAGTGTCAAATGAGGAAATATAACTGAAAACAGGCTAATATCTCTTTAGCAAACAGACAGCTTTATTATTGAGTCAACATTTGTGGTGCACATAATATTCTCAAACTTTTAAAATATTTATAGGAAAACAATACTTATTATCAATAAGTTTCAAATGTAATGAGGAAAAATATGGACACTCCATAACATAATGAGATTCATCGGGAAAAGTATTTTTATTTCATAAATTTCATATTCTTAAAGATCCATTTACCAGCTTCGATTGGAAGTTTTTGGTTACAAGTTCTTTTTTTATAATATGATTCTTAAATCTTTAGGAGTTAACTTAGGTACATTTCCCGTCCAAAATTGTTTTAAAAATCCTCTTATTTGAACGTTTAGATGAATTTTCTATGCTCATATGTCAGTCTTGTAAAAAATGACGTAACAATGTTACTTTCACAACAGATTTTAACTATATAATACTAAAAAATTAATTCGTCCACACATAAGGCAGACCACACAAGTTCAAGATATCTTTTATGCATGTCAACCAAAGGTGGATAAATAAACCTTCAGAAAAGTATTTATGCAGAAAGCAATACATTATGTTTGTCAACTTTCGCTCATGTGACATAAAAAATTTGACCCTGTAAGTAATCATTCGTACCTTTATACGTATTATTAAGGGATATCGCCCAGTTTCCCCATATACCATACAATTCGGAGTACTGGACTTCACAAGTAAAAATAAGTTTCAAAAATTCTAAGTTTTCTCGACCCCACTCATTACTCAGGCTCGTTTACTATTGTTTGCAGGTTACTGCAAAGTTTAACGTTTCGTCACGATCTTTTTCGTCAGATGCACCCAGCGTAAACAATTCATGTGATTGGTCAACTCAAATTATCAACATTGATACGGAAATAGTCTGTTGCACGAGCAACCAATCAGGGATAAGAAGAAAGTTCCAGTCGTAAAGCGTGCGCTTAGGAGGCGTGTACAATTTACCTTGAGTGCAGCTGTCAACTAGATCGTGACGTAACGTGAAACTTTACAGTCAGCTGCAAACAATAGTAATCTAATCTTATCTATAAATTACTAATTTACATCTTAAATACTGTAGATGATTTCCAAAGAAATGTACTCTATAATTTTTTTCAGTCTTTAAGAAAAAAAAACAACCATATCAACAACAAAACAAAAAAAAAAAAAAAAAAAAAAAAAAAATCACAGAGAGATTTTTTCCATTTCAGTTCACTCTCACTAATGTTCAGGTTTTCAGTTACAAAAATGTTAAATGAATTGACCTTTTTAGTGTAAATGGTAAGAAATATTCTTATATATCATCTAAAGAACAATAAAAGCTGCCATTTGAAAAAAAAAAACAAACAATTCATCTTTGTGAAAAACGAAGAAAAAAAGCAATTCATCTTTCTCTGTAAAAATGAAGATCAATGTATCCTTTTCTAATGGATATCACTGTGCATTGCTAGGGTAAAGACACGCAATATTTTAAAAGAAGACCACTGTTAATAAAACAGGACAAGGATAAACACCTTTATCCATAATCACAGACTGCATGCCCTGTTGAGCTTATTGTGAGGAGATTGCACATTCAGTTGTATGTGAATGGATTTTTTTGCTTAGTTCTACGGCGACTCGTTGTAAAATGTTTTGTGCCATGTCTTTTCATATTGATTTGATCGAAGAAAGATCGATGAAACAAGTCGTCTTTTACTAGTACCTTATTTAAGCATGTATTAGAATCTGGAATTATACTTTAACATGACCCAATATGATGGAGTTTCCATGGACTGAGCAAAAAGGTAACTTTATTTAGCATGAAAATGCTTATTTATGCACCATCTTGACAGAATATTTTGTGCAATATTTGTCTACTTACCATCTAGTATGATCTTGAATATCGAATAAAATGTTATATTTATGACGCGCTAAATAATTTATCCAGTTTTCAGATTCAATAATTAATTTATGAATTCATTGAAAAAGACGTTAATGGTAATTTAACAACAAAGCTTTATGATAAAAATGATGACTTTAACTTTTCAATCGTCAACTTCCCTTACGTATGCAGCAATATACCTTCACCACCTCCAAATCGGGGTTTATTTCTCTCAGTTGATTCGATCCACAAGAGCATGCTCTACGTATGAACAATTTCTAAAACGAAATAAACTATTGACTAACACGTTGATGAAACAAGAATATCAGCAGTCTAATTTAAAATCATCATTTCCTGAGTTCTATGGTCGATGCAGTGACCTTTTCAGCAAACACCTTGTTATGATTTTATATCCATTTGCCCGTCCATGATGTGAAACACGGCGTGTCTAACCGGTCTTCAGGGGATGCTTACTCCTCTATGACACCTGATTGCACCTCTGATGTTTAAGGGGGACGTTTTTGCTCTCCCGATTTGTAATATTTCAATGGACTTTAAAGCCTGATTACTGTTCAGTATCTCCATATTTCATCTGTAAAAATGTAAATTTTGTACTAGAACACGATTTTGAAGTGATGTCATAAAATGAATGATATAGAAACGGCATTTGTTCATGAAAATAGACAAAATATTGAAGGATCAAAGCTGAGAAATAATTATTGTATTGGAAAATCGAAATACTTAAGAGTTTTAATGAAATGTATGTATGTAATGTTGGCTTTAAATATCCCACTACAGAAAGATACATATCGACACCTTCAATGAAGATGTAAGAAAAATGTATTTGCACTGTATATGTCTGCGCTCTACTTTGTTTCTCTATTTGATGGAAAAACGGCAGATGTACTGGATGTCGCCCGCGTGGCGCAGTGGTTTGAGTTTTTGCTATGGACTCGCAGAGTAAGATCCTTGCGTCGCATGTTCAATCCTAATGCGAGAAGTTTTAAGCCAATGACTTTTGTCGCACTAGGTGCTGGTACGAAAAATATCACACACTGTTAAGAGACCCTAAGTGCCGAGTACAACTCGCCACCGGCTTGTAGCTGTAGATCTCAATAGGAGTGAAAAATTCCAAAAGGACGTTAATCAAACAATACAAACAGAAGTACCTTGCTAAAACATAATCAAGAAAAGGTGTAAATGCAATGTAGATTGTTAAAAATTATAAAGAATTTAAAATGTATTTTTTTTAATCAACGACGTCAATAGGAATTTATACACTTTATACAACCATCCCTCACGTTGAATGAAAATTAAGCTTTTTGACCTCATAAGAACGTTTGTGATTGTTTTTATTTATCATTCAACTAACAATGCAATACATGTAACAGGTTTGTTCAATATAAAGGCACTCACAACGTAGCTTTACCGCTCTGCATTTAAATGGAGGCATAAAGAGACCAAAAAAAAAATTAAAATGAAAACAAAAGAGAATGAATCCAATTTTAACCAAGAATTATTAAAGAACATGAACAAGTATTTTGCGAACATAAGAATGGGTGGGTATAATGAAAATCTCGGTGGTACTAGTGGTAACTTTCAATACACATTCTAACAAAGATTGGCAATGATTCCTTCGTAAACGACTAAAATTAGATTAAATATGTTTATAACACAAACTGTGTATTACTTTAAATGATTTTTTATGATACGACGTACATAAAAAAATTATCATTCTTTACTATAAAAGAATGCATTGGGTTTTTTCTTTGATTCTTTTCAAAAGCTGTGGTTATCAGTAAAAGTTTGAAAATATAAATAAGAAAGCAGGAAAAATTTAATATTTTCCCTGAGATTATTGATGTTAAAGGTGGCCATCTAAACTATCATATATATTCTGTTTGATCCATCATGTCTTCTATGCATGCGCTGAAGAATTAATGTGCTTTATCATCCATGCACTACAAGTGCCATGAAAATACACTGGTCACAAAGCAAAAGTAAATGTATGTTTTAACAAGCAGTTTAAAACATAAATATTCATTAAAGAAAATAAAATACGGTATCTATAATGATAAAATAGTGACTTAAAGATGTTTATGTAGGAAAAAATTGCAAATTAAATAAGATTAATTAATCTATTTAAAAAAGATGATCTATTGTTTTTTTGTCCTTTCAAAAAGAAGAAAAGTTCAAGAAAACCCTCTCACATTTTAAGATATTATTCACATTAAGAGCTCAGGTTTTATCAGAATTGAAGATTCTACACGTTCTAGGCAACCTTTCACTGATCATGAATTCAATATATTCAGCTAAGACAGAGTCATATTCCTCCGATTTTTCTCACCATTGTGTCATACTAATGGCCTTTTTTGTTAATCATAATAATATTTTTCTAAAGGTTCATGCACTGCTTATAATATTCTAGGGGATTTTCAAAGCATCAGCAGCCCTAGTTGTCGTTGGCATGGTTCTTATAACATTATTAACCTGTACTGCAACAAGAATCGGATGTTTTAAAATACTGAAAAGGTTGGAACTTAACAATAATAATAAATGAATAAAATTATAGTTAGAGCCTATAATTTAATGGGGTAGGTTTATAATAACATAATGAGAATATTTTAAAATAAGAAGCAACAGAATTAAAAGAAATTAATCAACATAATTGATTTTTATTTTGGAATAAGAAAATAATGTAACCTTCCTTCTTGATTACAGATTGGTGAGTCGCTAAAAGGAATGGGCTTCTGTGTACAACCCTGGACATATTGTATTTAATTATACCTTTATAGAGGGAATAATCAATTCATCTCCCAAACTTTGCATAGCGAGCCGTGTAATATAACAATACTCGAGTATATATTTAAAAAGATTTAATATGGAGGTAAAATCTTAAACAGATCATACTATTGAAATGTTTTCATAATGACTTCTTTGCTTACTATCGGCATAAATTCAGTCACAAACTTTATTTCATGCTAGTGATCTTCACGCCGTAGAACTTATTTGCTTTCACGCCAGCTGATTACTAGACAATATTACACCGTTAGTGCGTATAAATCTTGATGTGAACTTTATAATACTATTATCTGTTTTAGTAATCAGCTGGCGTGAAAGCAAATTCATTCCAAGGCATGAAAATCACTGGGATGAAATAAAATTTGTGACTGAATATGTTGCCTAAGGAAGAGAGAATATCAAACTTAATGCCTATTGAAAAAAATTGTATAGAATCACAAATCCATCCCATCGGTATCTCTTGGTTCTGAAATGGAAAGTTATCCTAATTCTCTTTTAATTAGACAAAATAATTTGCTACTTATATTGTTTAAAGATATTATGCAAAAATTTTAGTTGTGTATTAATTCCCATTAAATTCATGAGATTTTTACTTCTTTGAAACAAAGTGTGTTTAACGAGCAGTTATCAAACTCAAGTCCATTGATACAATACAAACCAGGAGCAGAGCAAACATGGATCTCTTAAAACATTAGAGGTGGGATCAGGTGCCATGGAGGAGTAATCATCTCCTCTCGACCGGTCGTCACCTTGTCACGATCGGTCTTACGAAAAAAATCCGTAGATAATTCTATGTAAAAAATGATTTGTTTTCTTTAAAATGTCTAATTTGTTAGTGTGTCTTTAAACACAAATTTTTATTTATGCGCACATTTTAAAAATAAGATTATATCTGTAACGATATACGTATGATATACGCCCCGTTAAGCGCCATCATAAGTATATTTATGTCGAAGTAACAAAACCGACTAGACATCAAAATCGCCCTATCAATCTCTCGTTTTACTTGCCTATAATTTTTTAAAGAAACATTAAACTACTTCTTGATTTGCATATTTCATTAGTCACTTTAGTTTTACGAAAAGAACCTGTTATATAGTTAAAATCTTTACCAAACATATTCCATCTTTCTTGTTACTAGTCTAGATCACGGCATATTACTGAATGCTTCCAATTTTACGAACAGTAGCAATGTCAGCTACCTGTACTCACAAATTTATTTTGTGCTTGTGCAAACAACATGCAAATAAGTTGGTAACCAGAACCAGTTTGATGTCTCTGATATGAATATTTATATAGTTTTCCATTCGCTTATAAATATTATATATCATAAATGGAATCGATTGATAATTCTCTGTTATCAGTTGATTTTGTAATATTTTGTGCTATTGAAATGTTTATACATGAACAGTAAAACCGTAAACTGAAAAGCATATTCCTTTTACCTAAATAGTCAGATTCGTTATTCTCGAAAAAAATATAATGATCATATTAAATTCTGACAAGTGTGAATTAAGAATTCACCATAACTACATGTACCTCGGAAAATAAGTCACAATGAGGAAACCCTTCTGATAGCAACGCAGAAAAAAAATGAAAAGAATGACCACAAATTGCACTTGACGACAAATCGGTGCCATTTTCAAACTCGCTACACACTCAAGACCCATTTCAAACTGTAAATTTGAATAATTAATAAAAATATTGATTTCAATTTGTCCTTGACAACTGTCGCATCCCTACAACATCAGGGGGTCCTGATTCCACTCGTGGTCATAGGCCCCCTTGAAAAACTTTAAATGATTTTTTAGCTTACATCTTTTTGAGAAGCACCAATCCAATTCGGTTTCTCATGAGTAAAAATAAAACTTATATGAAAGGTTTGAAATCTCAGTCCAACGTACTGCCAAACACGTATAACAGATTTGCAAGGTTGAAAAAAATCAGAAATTGTATGTTTCCTGAAAGATGTCACTGCCGTTAGCAGCGTTAAAAAACGACTGAAGTTTATTGAAGTCCCAAGAACTCGAGAGGCTTCAGGTCTACCGACGTTACTAGAAAGATCTGTCCGTTCTTAAAAATTGTTTGGATCTTTTATGGAACTGCAGCTATTGACTCCCTCAGACTGCGCATTTAATTACGTGATAAAATATTCTTTTCTGTTGACTCAAGTTTTAAATTCTTAAACGATCAGCTTCATCACTACTACAGAGAAAATAAATATACACTGTGTTTGTTTGAAAATCCTTCTCTATGCATAATGAAGTATTGTTAGGGACCGTGTCTCTGTAAGGATGGTGCTCAACTGTGATCTGTATCTAAAAGACTCGCATATTGATTTTGTGTAATTCAAACATTTTTACATTGATCTCATCGCGAAATTTAACAAGTTTACTACATAACGTTTACATTCTTTTTATTGATGCATTACTCAACATTTACATAGTGTACAAAATTTGACAAGCTTGATTTCTAAAATTAAACAAATCTGCTTGACTGGCAAAAAAATACAAAGGTAAGTATATATTTCTTTTGTCCAATTAAGGATTTTTTCACGAATTCAATACTTTGTGATTATTCCTTTCCTGCAGAAACGAAGGAAACTTATTTCTATATTGTTGACTTGAATAGGAAGAAGACTAGCTATGTCAGTTTTTTCACTCTCCTAGACATTCGTTTCATCAGGACTCAGTAGAATTTCATTCTTTTGTTTTTCTACTGAATTGACTACAGAAAGTTCCGTCTACTTGATAGGCTGATAGGCCACGCAATGGTCGTGACCGGTCCACGGGGGATGCTAGCTCCACCTAGGCACCTGATCCCACCTCTAGAATTTACAGATGTCCGCTGTTTATGCCCTTTTGACATATCTTTATTGTTTGTAGATTTTTAAAGAATGGTTCATGTCTGTTATCTTCACTTTTTACATTCTCGTAATTTATTCTAGACCTTTTATGCATTGTATCGAATCTTGACCCTAAATAACATTTTTAATCATCACCAATTGTTGAATTTTTTCCCCTCGCTAAAATTATTCGGGGCATAAAGATACTCCATCCTTGATCCCACTCAGGAACTTGACTTTAATGATCTTTATATCCACGAAAAGATAAGTTATTGGTTGAAAATAATATATGATACATTTTCAGACTTGTTTTGTATCTGTTTGTATGTTGCTTAACACCCATCTTGAAATTTTTTTCGATCACTCATATTAAGACACATCACTTGTCGATGGAGAGCAGCAAATTTTGTCCTATGCTCGACGCTTATGGCCATTGAACATTGAGGGATTTTTTCTCATGCCAACACTTACTGCGACACGGGACCTTGGTTTTTACGGTCTCATTCGTAGGAACAATCTCTACGTAGGACCCCAGTGGGATTCGAACCCGCGACGTAAGGATCAACTCCTTACTCCGCGACTCTAGAGCAGACGCTCTTACCACTGTGCTAAATGGGCGACTTCAGTGACACTTATTCCGATATCAATGTATGTATAAACAAAGATTTCTTGGTGAAATGATAAAAAATTATTTTTCAAATATTTAATATCAATCTACTGTGTGTTGTTGTTTATTAGTAACTATCTCTGATTTGACACTTGCTTCCTAAGATATCAAGTGTTAACATCAAGAGTACTGAATTGTTCCTAAGAGCGAAGGTAATTAAGAAATTGCAATGATAGTGATTCGATGGGGCGCCATATTGAAGCTAACAAGGCTGACTTGCGTCACCTTGAAATATACTATTTGTCCCCCGCTTGAAAAGTGGGGGATATTAATTTGGGTTTGTCCGTCCGTCCGTCCGTCCGTCCGTCCGTCCGTCTTTCTGTCTGTCTGTAACGCTTTCGTTTCCACACGATATCTCGAGACCCTTAGAGCTTTTGCAATGAAATTTAGCATAGCAACTCCCTATGAACTAGAGAAGACCCCTATTGATTTTGAGGTCAAAAGGTCAAAGGTCAAGGTCATAAATAAGCAAATTCTGTCTGTTAAAACACTTTCGTTTCCACACGATATCTCTAGAATCATTTGAGCTATTGCAATGAAATTTTATATAACAACTCCCTGTGGCCTAATAAAGACCCCTATTGATTTTGAGGTCAAAAGGTCAAAGTTCAAGGTCGTAAATTTATACATTCTGTCTGTGTGTAATACTATTATTTCCGGGCGATATTTCAAGAAGATTTTGAGCTTATGCAATGTAATTTTATATCAAAACTCCCTAGGACGTCTCTCTCCCTCTCAAAGTGCCCCGCCCCGTTTGTTTTATTAGTATTTATAGTATTACATGTCGCTATTTTTAGCGCAGGGGCATGAGGAGAGTTATTGCGTATAAAACAGGTTCTCGGCGGACTTTATATTCTTATTACATCTATTAGAACTGTTTAATAAAGATTAAATAAATCAAACACCGTGGATTGTGTTAAATTTTGAGAATAACGAACATGAAAACATGAATAAATACATGTATGTGACTTCACTTCTGCATATACATCACGCAAAATAAAGCGATTCCGTGGTCTAGTGGTTATGTCTCTCGCTTCAAGTGTGAGAGGTCCCGGGATCAAGTCTCGGACGGACTATTCTTTTTTTTTTTTTTAAATACTTTTTTTTTTCTAAATGATAGTATTCAGCATGTGAAATGAAAAATTTATGAGGTTATAAAATCATCATTACAGTGTGATAAAAATTCCATATAAAAAATCTTCTATACACATAATGAAGAATAAGCAATCAAATCTTTATATGCATATTGACATACATGTATTTTATTTGCTTCAGTATACATGTATACAGTTAATAATTCTACAAATTCAGTCAGGGGGGCCGACTTTTTCCCTAAGCGGGGGACACGAATTCTCTGAATTAGCTTGTTTCAGATTCATATGAAATCGATTTCTCCCAATAGATATAAAAAGGTGATTTGCTTCCGAACAGTATAAAGATAAGTTATTGACAAATAAATTAATTATGCAAGGATATCAAACACATTGATTTAAATCAACATTTCGCAAAGGATATGGTCGATGCAATGATTGCAAATATAATTCCTCGTTGGATCGAAAAGGTAAGTGATGTCTTTCATACAAGAAAATTATAGAATGAAGGACATGGCTCATATTACTAGACTCTTTTGTACGGGTAAAAAATAAATAAGCATCAACTTACTGATAAGAACAATACAACAACTAACTTGAATATAAGGTATTGCTTTGTGTGGTTCTTGGATAAAAAAATTCCGATCCGTGAAAAAAAACCTTTTTCCACGTTTTTTTTTATTTACATACAAATCAAAATTTATCAACTTAAAATAATCGGGCCTAACAAACGGAAAAAAACGCTTAGTCATTTCAGTGTGTAAATAACGGACTAAAGTTACTATAGTCAGTCAACATTTAACGAATTTCTGACAAGATCATTGCATCGACCATAGAACTTGCGAATAGTTGACTTTAAACAAGACTGTTGATGTCCTTGTTTGATCAACTTATTTGTCAAAAGCTTT